TCAAAGAAAACAAAACAAAACAATAATAATAATTTTCTTCCTTTTAGAGAATAAGTAATAGGCTTTATCTACCCATTCGTCCATGGCCAGAACTAAGCTTCTTCCATGTGTTCACTGTTGTGACCAGAGCTGCTTTGAGCAAAGCGTGCAAATGCGTCTTGGAGCCTATGCCTTGCTGCTTTTGTGCATATATTCAGCATTCCATTTGGTGATTTATATGGTAATTTATCTCCTTATTTATATATAGATGGAATCTCTATAAGTTGCCCAGGCTGGCCTCAAACTAATGACTCTTCTGCCTCAGCCTCCTGGGTTCCTATGTCACCATAGCTGACTCTGTTTCTCATTTTGAGGAACTTGCCACAGTAGCTGATCCATTTTATAATGCCAACAGCAGTATGTGAGGGTTCTTTGTCTTCATCAGTATGTTCTGTTGTTTTCTTTTTTGAGATAAGGTGTCACCAACTAGCCCAGGCTGGCCTTGAAATTAAAATTTGCCTTGCACCGGCCTTTTAGCTGTCTGGATTACAGGCATGTACCATCACACTAGCTAATTTTTTATTTTATTTTTAATTAGTTTTCTTAATGGTATCTTTTGTCATTGGGGTTTTTTGCTTTGCCTTTTTGCATTTTTTCTTCTCTAGTTGTGAGAATGATTCCTCAAGGAATTGGTAATGTAATTAGAATGATAAGACTTGAAAGATTAGAGGAAAAGTTGCTGTGGATAACATTGTTTGGCTAATATTTTTATGTAGGTCAAATGCAGTTGTTTTCAAAGATGTAAGGAAATAAGTGTCAGCCTGGCTAAACTTTTTCCCCTCCATCATTCTTCCTTCCTGGCACCCTTTGTGGACCATAATTCCTCATTGCAAATGATGGGTTAGCACATTAGTTTAGCAGTCATTGGTTTGATACAGTGGGATGACAGTTTAGAAATTTGTGGCCTTAGTACTATGTTTATCACTCTATTTGAACTTGGAAAGAAGTTTTAAAAGGGCTTTGCCTTTGGTACTGTCTGGAATGGATTAAGGTCCTGATTCCTATGCCATTGGTAAGCAGAAGCTGACAAGCTGAATTGCAATTAATACTGTCATTGCAATCCACAGCACTGCCTCTGAAGGAGTAAAGCTGAGCTAATTAGGAACGTGATGGGTTTTGTCAACTTCTTTTCTGCGGTGCGTCACAAGCCTATATTTTGGGTGTTTTTTGTTTTGTTTTAGATCTGGGTACGTAGGAATGACATACTTTACCCTAGGGCCACTTTAAACAAGGGTCTTCCAGATGGCCAGCACTGCCCTGCAATGTGAGAAACTGTCTGAATACTTTGCCCTCTTCATTTTCTGAGGGTACATCAAAACATTTTAAATCTTAAAACAAGTTTTTGTAGGTAAAACTTCATGTTTTCTTTCTTTTAAATATTTTCTCAACATACATGATGGTACATATCTGTAATCTCAGTGTTCTAGGGGCTGTGGCAGGAAGATGGCAAGTTAATTTTTTTTTTTTTTTTTTTTTTTTTTTGCTGCTGCTTTATCTACTTTAAATTTTTTTTAAAAAATTTAAAATTTAAATTTAAAAAAATTCAGTTTGGAAAACAGCCAAGTCAGTGCTATTTGAGTCTTTGAAACAGATATCATTTGAATTAGATAAATGTGTGAGAGCCCTGATAGCATGCTCGGTGATTTCTGCATGCTGTATAACTGGCGGCCAGTGGGAATGCGCTCTGGACAAGAGAGAGCATCTGTATTTCTATAAAACTTGTAAAGCTCTTAAAGGTGTTGGTGAAGCTCCCTAAACAGTGCTCTTGTCTTCACTGGATCCATTTGTAGAACCAAAGGCTCTGTTTTACTCACCAAGCTCTTTATTAGTTAGCTTCTGGACTCTTTCTCAGACTCAGAGCAGTATATGGGGGCTGATGGAACTACTTACTGCCTGGCGCTTTTGCTTTGGAGAGGTGTGTCTTGGCCTGTGTGTCACTTTCTCTTTGGAGCCTTCTTGGTATTTGGCAGCGTCTGAGAACTCCAGCTGCTATGGGCTCCACTGGGCCATTTCAGAGTTGCCCAGCTGTTTCCAATGCCTGGGTAGTTTGGGGCATCAGAATGTACTTCAGCTGCACCATAACGTCCCTTTAGACACAGTGAAGAGCTGGTCAGTCTTTCTGGGTTTCAGGAGCTGCACTCCTTTGTTGCTGGGGAGCTGAGGAGCAGCTCAAGGCTGGAGAAGGTGGCATAAAAAGCACGTGGTGCACTGGCTGTCCCTATGAGGGGTGTTGTTGGGGCAGAAGGGCTTGCTTTGAACAGGGTTCTGGCTGCAAGCTTTTTTTTAACAGGAGTGGCATTACCTGAGTTTAGATGGAGAGATAGCCAGCTTTTGTCTTTTAACATAATTTCAGAATTACAAAAGAGTGGTAAGAATCACCACATAGCCTTAATCCCAACACTGAGGAGCAGAGGCAGGTAGGGCTCTGTAATTTGGGGGTCCATCCTGGTGTACATAGTGAATTCCAGGATAGCCAGGGCTATATAAAGAGACTCTGTCTCAAAAATATATAAATTAAAAACAACAAAAAGAACTCTAAAATATCTTTCACTACATTTTTCAAATATTCATAGTAGTTTTATTCTACTCTCAGTTTTTCTCACATAAATATACCATATACATCTATACATATATGGATATATTTATGTATATATGACACACTTATGTAAATAGTGTATGTTTTCAGATGTGTATACATGAATAGAGTATACTTAACATATTTTTTTCTGACATGTCTGACAGTAAAGCAGTCATCCCTTAGTACTTTAGTATTTTCTTTAAAACAGTATTTCTCACATGGTTCTGTAGTATCTTGTTCAAAAATGAGACTCAGTATTAATCCAGTGCTGGTACCTAGGCTGTGATTTTTAATTCACATTTACTAGTTTTCTTTACTATAAAGAAAATTTCAGCTTGTGTGTTACGTTCCGTTGTTTTCTCTTTGAATCTGAACTAGTTGCTCCATACCTTTCACAATGGTGGCATTTTTTAGACTTAGACAATACTTGTCATTTATGTGTCCTTTCCTGGCTGTTTTTATTTGGGTTGTGTGGCACGTGATTTCTCCCATACATTGAGGTCCGTAATTACAGGGACAAGGAAGGTAAGATTCCTAGAAGAGATGGCAAAGAACACCGTAGCCATATCTCTACTGGGAACTCTGGCAGAGTGGAGAAGTATTGTGGCAGCTGCTCTGCAAGTACAGAGCTACGAATGTGGCCCAGGTGGGCACTGTTGGAGGTGGTGCTGTGCTCTGCTTCCAGTCTTTCTCCTCCTGCCTTATATGTGTTGTGTTGTGTATCCTGGAGGAGGTCAGAGGACAATGTTGGTGCTCTGGTCTATCATTCTCCTTAACTCTTAAGACAGACCCTCTCATTGAACCTAGAACTCACTGTTTATTATGCTAGGCTGACCAACTAACAAGTTACAGTCATGCCTGGCTTTTTTATGTAGGGGATCTGAACATAGGCCCTCATGCTTACACAGCTCTTGTCTACTGAGCCATTTCTCCAGCCAGTCCACCTTCCCTGCTCTTCCTCAGAGGTATGTTTCAGGAACCAAGAGATTATTTATCATCTCTGAGCTTTAAAAACATTATGTGTGTGTGTGTGTGTGTGTGTGTGTGTGTGTGTGTGTGTGTGTGTGTATATATAAAATCTATGTGTGTGCACATATATCGTATATATTGAACAGAGGGAGCACGCACACCATGCAAAAGTCAGAGGACAAATAGTGAGAGTGGGTCTCTCCAACCTTGTGGGATCCAGGGATTGAATTCAGGTCATCAGGCTTGACAGCAAGCACTCTTACTTACTGGACCATCTCACCACCCACCCAACCTAAGGTTTTTTAGATCTTGTTTTATCATTTTATGGTAAGTCCATGGGCCTCTCTTACCTTGTTGTTACAATAAGAGTGCTTTAACAATAGAGTAGTCCTTTTCCTTAGCTCAGTTTCTCCCTTGTCACACTTGGGAGAAAAACCCAGAGGTGAAGAGGGTGCTGGTAGGCAGTCAGGTTGCCAGGCCTGACTCTTGCTTCTGCCCCTGTTAGCTGTGACTTTGGGTGAATAGCACCTCTACTGCTGACCCTCCTGCTTAGAGGCTTTGTCAGGGTAAATGGACTTCCTCCTAAGTCAGTAGGTGAAGGTCAGAGAGTTAGCATGTGCTGCATGACCACCATTGTATCTGTCACTGTCCTGAGTGACTTACAAATCATTGATTATAACACACTTGCCTTTCAGAACTGCTTTTATTTGTTGACTTCAGACAGGAAATGATGCACATAATGGGAGTGTTTCTAAGAAGGCCTTTAATTTTCTGTCGTGTAGGTTGGTGGCTTAGCAGTCAGTAGTCACTGCTGGATGAGATCAGCTTTCTATTTGCTGATCCAACAGCTTTCTCTCTCTAGGAATGAGATCTGTTGGGAGAATTACTGGCTCTGAACTGTATGTGATTCTAAATCTCAAGGAAGTGTTAGTGGCAACAGGAAACGGGAACCAAGAGCTTGGAAACAAGTTTGTAACGTGATGTCAGTGAACTAGTTCTTGCCCCTGAGACACAATTACATGTAATTCATTGAAAGAGTGGGTGTCTGGCCACTTTGTTTCAGTTTTTTTCCATTTGTCCATGATCTACACCTGTTCAGAGCTATAACACATTTGGCAGTAATCCAGTAAGCATGCACTTGTTTTTAAAATACTACATGGATATTCAAGTTTGCTCAATGCCCTAGTTGTAACTACTTAAAAGATATTGCCGCATAAGCTATAAACTATAAAATGTTTAACCTAAAAGATTACTATTGGTAAGCTCACTTTGTCTTCTAATTTAAGTGTATTCCTTAACACAACACAGTGCACAGCAAAATGATCCATGCTGTTGCCTTAACATTATTTAAAAATGTATTTATTATGTTAACTTCAAAAAGAGTCTCACTTCTGATTACTCTTGTGTATTTAAGCCAGTGAAGAAAAAGAAGATAAAACGAGAGGTTAAGATTCTGGAGAACCTTCGTGGTGGAACAAATATCATTAAGCTGATTGACACTGTAAAGGACCCTGTGGTAGGTGCCTGGTGGCTGGGGAGTGTGCTAGTGGATCGGGGTAGGCTGTTGTTAACACCCAGGGCCTGTGTGGTGCTACATAATGGGCTGATGACACTGTTATTTACTACTAAGTGGGTTTAAAAAACAGAGCAGTTGCGGCCCAATGATGAGCCAGCCACCACCACTAAATGGAATCTAAATATGTTCAGAGACCAACCCTGCCCCAGATTTGTTACGTGTTATTACCAGTGTCTTTGATTTAGCCCACAGAAGTTCGCTAGATAGCCCATGAAGCTCTGCTTTTGTTCTGTTTTTGAAATCTTCTCACTACTAGTTTACATTCTCTTACCTCACCCTAGTAAGCTGGATACTGGGAATCTCTGTGTTGAGTCTACTGTAGAGAACTAAGTGGGTACCAGATCACCAATCCTTTGAGAAAGAAGCCTTGCTGTTTCCTACGCTAGTCTTTAGTTCTCCATCCACCACAGGGCGCCTCATGATGTATATCAACAACTAAACATAGACTACTTTTAGAACTAAAATGCTTAATTTGGGGCAAGGTGGCTCTGTAGATACAGGCATTTGCCACACAGGCCTGTGACTAGAGTTTGATCCCTGGAAACCATGTCAGGCTAGAGAGGACCTATTCCACAAAGTTTTCCTCTGACTTCCATATGTGTGCCATGGTACATGTGCCAACATACACACATGTACATACATATACACAATAATAAAATCTTTTTAAAAATCATAAAATAATATGCTTAATTTTGACCTATTCTAGGGTGCTGTTCACTTTCAATCCTTCCCCTAAGGAAAAACATAGCAGTATTTGATTGCCTAAGCATTGATCCTTGCAAAACCTATCGTGGTGCCACTTCTGTCCTGTGGCTGTTGTCCACCTGCTCCACCTGATTATTTCTCTGTTGTCTATGAGAGTTTCACATAAGCTTATCTAAGAAGCAAGTCTTTGCTTCTGTATGCTGAGGACATTCTTACACTGTACTGGCTAGCCTGAGTGCCTGCTGTAGGCCAGGCATTGTGCTGAATGCTTAGCTGCATCACACCATTTAATCCCCATGGTGATCCAGGGGATTATCAACATTGTACTGTAAGAAAACAAAAATCTGCAAAGGTTAAGTAATTTGCCCAATACACAGTAGTATGGTATGAGAAAAGATATTTCTTTTGGATCCTGGTCAAACCTGAGAAGGGGCTGTTATATACCAGTTTATAACTGATTGTCAATAAATATATATCCTATCCTGCATAGTTCAGATTGATGACCAGCCTTGAACTGCATAATGTTTGAGGTTAAAATGGGTTTATCCACTTAAAAAAGGATATATACATAGATATGTACATATATTTTTAATGTTTGAGATAAAAATGGATATTGTTCACTTAAAGAACACACACATATATACCCCATATGTAGAAAATGTGAATTTGGGGGTATAGCTGAGTTAGTAGTGTGTCTGCTAGCATAAATGTGTCCTGGGTTTGATGGCTAGAACTGCATAACCTAAGCAAGGTGATGTGTGCCTATAATCTCAGCACATGGAAAATGGAAGCAGGATGGTCAGAAATTCAAGGCCATTCTCAACTACATAGGGGATTTAAGACCTCTCTAAACCAGAGATCCCTTTCTCTCTCTCGCCTCATCTTTCTCTCTATATCCTCTCTCCTTCCCCATCCCCCTCTCTCTCATACACACACACACATGCACAAACCCCCAAAACTAAGAAGATGTTAGTAGGGACCAAACCTAAGGTAGACAAGTGTGAGTACATGGTATGTAAGTTCATCCCCCACAAAACATACCCTTTTTCTCGATTCCTTTCCCCTTGCCCCTTCTTCCCTCCCTCTCTCAGTTAACTGAACTTACTGACACCTGGCTTAATATTTGTAACTTGTTAACATGTGAATATAATTCACGAGTTAAACAAAAATAAATAAAGTAGAGCTTGAGAGCACATGTTATTTTCCAGAGAACCTAAGTTTTATTCTCAGCACCCATGTCAATGTCTAAGAGCCATCTGCAATTGTAGTTCTAGAGGAATCGGACACTTGGCCTCTGTGGATACCTGTACTCACCTGCACAAAGTGAACACACACATATGTACATAATTAAAAATAATAAAAATAAGCCTTCTTTTTAAATTGGTGGAAGTGGAAAGGGAAGCCCTAATTTCTGAATTTGAGAGGATAAGGCTTACTTGAGTCTATAGAAAGGTCTGGTTCTTGATGAAAATGTTAGAACCATTTATTCATGGTCTCTGTGTTGCCCAGGTAAAGACCTGTGTGTGTACTATGGCTCACTCCCTAGAAACCTTGAAATAAAGTTCTCAAGGGTAAAATTTTTTGAGATGAGGTTTTTGTTTCTGTAACCTTAAAACCCCTGTTTTTCTCCATTTTGAAACATTTCTGCCAATTAGCATGATTTTATTTCCCCTGAGTAAATCTGATGTTTGAAGCTCTAGATTTTTATAAGTATTGGACCGGACACTTTCCTAATTTCATTAAAGACTATGGTGACTGTAAGTTTTGTGTGCAATGATGCTTTGTGCATATGTGGAAGAGAGGGGGAGCTGACTGCCCATTGAGCTTTTGGGATCCTCCTGTCTCCACATACTGGTGATTACAGTGCCCAGCCTTTGCATGGGTACTGGGGATTTGGGCTCAGGTCTTCTTGCTTTCACAGCAGGTTCTTTTAACCCACTGAACCAATTCTTCAACTTTAGTGCTTTTAAGTGTGATTACAGACATGTACCTCTGAGCCCCAATGATCTTTTAGGAGCCTAAAAAAATACTTAGAAGATTTGAAAAACTATCAGATGGATCTTGCTTGCTAGACCAAGATGCAAGTGTGCAGCTCCTGATACGGGTGGTGACTTGTGATGCTGCTGAGTGTAAACCTTAATAAAATCACCAATGGGTTGCTCAGGGCTGCTATTGATCATTCAGGGAAATATCTTCCTTTTAAAAACTTTACATATACACAGAAGTAAACAATGTACACTGAGCCTTCTGAGCATGGCTAAACTTGAGCAGTATCAGCTTCATGCCAACCTATAACCCTGGCTCCTCCCGCCTCCTACTTTGCCCAGTTATTTTGAAGCAATCCAGACATCATAAATATATTTAAAAAAAAAAAAAAGTTTCTGGAGCTGGAGAGGTTTCTCAGTGTGTGAGTATGTGGTGCTTTTCAGAGGATCTGAGCTCGGATCCCAACACTCAGATGGCTCACAGTTGCCTACTCCACCTCCAGGGAATCCAATACCTTCTTCTGGTCTCTTTGGAGATGGGCACACACTAACAAATCTAGAAAAAACAATAAGAAAACCTAGGCTGTCTCTGATGAGAGAATCTCCTTTTCATCTTTGAGGTTTGAGGGTGGGCCGTTGCAAATTGCATTTATTACTGTCTGAATATCTAAAAAGAATCACTGTTCTCTCTTTCAGTCAAAGACACCAGCTTTGGTATTTGAATATATCAATAATACAGATTTTAAGGTGTGTATGCTTCTTTCTGGCATGGGGTTAATGGGGGATGGGAGGGGTGGCTTAAGGTCCTGCTTGAATTCCAAATCCAAACAGTCATGGATGTCGGTGTGTCAGATGACAGCTTGGATCCCAAATAGTGCAGACCATGGTTGGGGTTCTCATCTGTAACAGGAGGTTTAACGCCTCATTTGTAACACCTGTTATCTACAGCATAGTTGTAGTGGACATTAATTTTGGTTTTCATGAGATCTGCCATTGCTGATGGGAAAAGATAAGTGGATACAGAGCTTCTGGGAAGGGAATCATTGGTTTGATGCTGCTAAGCATGTATTCATATACACCATGTCCAAAGCAGTTGATTCCAAAAACCTACTGAGAGTTGCTGTTGTCAAACCCTGAACTGGGTTTATATTGATCAGGGTATACTATTTTAAACTAAAGTCTTTTATTTGGTGGGTTGGGTTGGGTTGGGTTGGGTTGGGTTTTGTTGTTCTTGCTGTTGAGGTTTTTTTGTTGTTGTTCTGTTTCTGAGACAAGGTTTCTCTTTGTAGCCCTGGCTGTCCTGGAAGTTCGCTCTGTAGACCGGGCTGGCCTTGAGAGATCCCCCGTGCCTCTGCCTCCCAAGTGCTGGTATTAAAGGCATGTGCCACCACTGCCTGGCTACGTATATACTAACGTGTGTTTGGGGTTTTTTTGGGGGGTGGGTGTAAATAGTGTCTCATTTAACTCAGGTGCCAACTCAGACTTTATCCTCCTGCCTCAGCCTACTGAGTACTGAGATTACAAGTGTGTGCCACTGTGCCCACTGAAGCATTCTTTTAAGATACTTGATCCCAGGCTTTCCTGGAATTCATCATGGCTTCTCTGCCTCAGTCTCCTGAGTGCTGGGATTATAAAACCCATGTGCAGCTTTAAATATGATTCATGGATATGTTTTATTGTAACTAAAAACATGAATCTACAAATGAGGCTTTTGGTGTTAAGAAATATGAAAAGAAAACCTGTATTTAGAGCACAGGGAAAACAATGTAAAAAATAAAATAGTGATATTAGTTTCTAGGGGTCTGAGAATACTTGTGGGTGGTTACAACTCTCTAGCAAGGAAATCAGACACTGTGAGTTGGTGAGCTAGAAGCTAGAGATAAAACCATCTTGTCAGTTGAAGATTCTGGCATCCATGCTGCAGGTAAAATGAAAGAGCTTTATTTTCTTAGGTATCTGATGAAAACTTAGGAAAAAAAATACATTGACTTACAATGAAATATTCAGTTTTCTATGTAATATAACTCCCTTAACAGGAAAAATCAGTGTGACTTCAGCATTTTGTGTTTCTCAAAGGTGGTGTCTACGGGGTTCTTAATGTCATGGGAAACCTGTTTTTCTGGGGTCTGAACCCTTAAAGGAGGTGTTCTGAAGACATGGAAGCTCTCTAAAGGGTGTTTTTAAAGCAGTTGTACAAATCAGTGGTTTCTGAAAGTTGCATATTTGAAAACATCTTTTATCCTCTTCACTTATTTCTTCTATATTGAAATTCATGATTTCCTCTGTTTTGAAGAGTTTGTACCACTGTCAGCCCTGGAACCATTCCTGTTTGATCTTATATCTTGTTATTTTCTTTTTCTGGAAGTATTTAGGAATTTCTCTTCATTCCCAGTCCTCTGAATGTTCAGACATGTGCCTTCCTGAGGGTTCTTTTCATCTTTTGTTCTGGATTCTTGCTGGCCTTTTTCTATCTGAAAGCGCCTGGCTTTCCATATTTTCATTGTATCAATGTTCTTTGATTTCTCACCGCTTGTTCTCACTGTCTAGAATATAATTCAAATGTTAGACTTTGTACTTTAGATGTCCATTTCCGTCTCTGAATTTTTTAAAACTAGTGTCCTCTTATGCTTTATGTAATGTCATCTGTTTTCTCATAGAGATGGTTGCATTTTGTCTCCATGCCTTTCATCTATTTTTCACAATTTTGTTTGATTTCTCTGATAGTTGCTGCTACTGTTTTGGAGTACTGCGCTGAAAGGCAGTCACCTTCTGTCTTGAGGACACCTTGTCTTCAGTTGAGTGCTGTAGGGTCTCATACAGATCTAAGTGATGTTGGGGGATGCAAGCTCACAGCTTCTCTGTTATCAGCTGTCTTTTTCAGACAAAGCTGGGTCTGTCCATTTTTAGGCCTTTCTGTGCTTCTTAGTTTGAAGCTGTGTGCTGTTTGGCAGAATTTCTAGCTTTTTCAGTTCGTTAAATCCGTGAACATGTTTTCTGGCTTCAAACTGTTGACTCTCTCACTCTCAGTTCTGGAGTTCATCCCTATCAGGCCTGTAACTTGAGAGGACTTTCAGGTGAAGTGGAAGGTTGGGAATCCCTTTTGAACACTGAGCCATACTATTTTGGTCAGCCTAAAAGAACATTAAATATCTATCAGGTAGCATGTGTGCTTTAGAAGGGTGAATAATGATGGCTCTACTAGAGAGGATGACGGGCCACAAATTGGCAATCTGTTGGTCTTTATGTCCTTAAGGAATTTTTATTTTGTCCTGTATTTGCCTTAATGGAAAGGTTTGATTTTTTTTCCTTTTTATCTTTTCCCTTTTAGTGTGAAGTGTATTAATAACTGGCTTTAAGGAACTATCAAAAGAGTGTCCTGGCTGAATGTCATGATGAGGCAACAGTGACATGGCTTATATTGTTGTTCAGTGATGGGTGTTCACATAGTACTTCCCTACCATGCACAAGGCCTGGGTTCTATCACCAGAACTGCACAACAAAACAAAAGCAGGAGTGTACTGTACACATGCTATGCAGTGATTTTATTGGACCAGTCGATGATCAGCTTTGATCTTAAGTTTTCTTTCATTACAGAGATGTCTCATTTTGATACCTAGGTTTTATTACATCTGTAAAGTAAGCTTGGGCAGCTTTTCCTCATTGTAGTGTCTTACGAGTGTATATGCAGTGTATGAATCTGGGTGGCTCTCCTCCTGACTTCTTTCTTGTTAATGTTAGTCAATTAGACAGTTTTTTAAAAATTCAAAATGCAAATTTTGAACTTGTGGGTTATAGGTTTTTACCCCCAGATTTTCTGTGCAGTGGCCACCTATTAGCCCTGTTGGCTAGATGGGCCAGTCAGTGTTTTGACGTTACATCTTTGCTGTTACATCTGTCCTTTCCTATCAGTGCTAGCTTTTTTTTTCCTGAGTCATCTTGTAGTTAGTTGGACATTGTCATACTTGGTTCTTGAATGTGCTGTTAATAGAACCTGAGCAGTTCCCCATGTAGCCACAGTATCCAAGAAGTTTAGTTATTTACAGTACAATTCATCTACTATCATGGTTTCTTCAGAACTTTCTTGGTAACTGTTGTCACCATAATGTCTTTTAGAGCTATATTTTTGTGAGTATATGGTTCAAGATCAACTGGACTGTTCATTATTGTTAATTCCTAATTCTATTGTACTTGTGTCCAGAGACTATGATCTGTCCAGGTTGTGCATCCCTAGTCTAAAAAATTTCAAGCAGTGAAGTGCTTCATAATATCAGCATAACCCCACAAAGTAGAAAATGGGAACCACACCTTGAAAGGTTTTAAACTAATTTTTTTAACTGTTTAAAATCTTGAAGAAAATAATCTCATCACTTGGGAGGTAGAGACAGGTAGATCTGTGAGTTTGAGGCCATTCCAGACTACATAGTAAGACCCTGCCCCCAAAAAGAAAAGAAAAGAAAAAAAGGTACGAACTTAGGTTTGTGTTTTATGGATTTGGGATTTTGGATTGTTTTCTAGATGGTGGTGGCTAGGGCTTCTAATCCCAGCATTAAGAAGGCAGAAGCCAAGGGATGAGGAGTTTGAGATTAACCTGGACTATATGAAACCCTACTTAAAATAGAATAGAAAATATCCCCAAAACAAAACCTTAAATGAATTTTATCTTTAGACTTGGGTCTAATAACCAAGATACTTCATTGTATATATACATATATTCTAAAACCTGAAAATTGCCTGACATAGAAACAGTTTTGGTCCCAACTACCTCAGTGTAGTGCAGAGTATTGAGAACCTGTTGATGTTTGCTTTGTGATTCTAATGTGGGTCATGTTTTAAACCGTGGTGGTTAGTTCTCTGTGGCCTTACTCATTTTTCCCTGATGTTTCACCTCATGCTAGAGCTAGTTAGGTCAGTTCTCCTTTAAAACCACCAGCTGTTTCCTATATGTCAAAGCTAAACAGTAAAAGAAAACATAGTTGCCTTTAAAAAGACAAAACTTAAAAATGGCAATGTCATCTCCTAAGAGTGCCCACTCAACAGTACACTCCTCAACTTGAAAGTTCTTAAATGAGACTTGAATATGGTGGCACACATGTAATTCTGCTGTTTGGGAAACTGAAATAGAACTCTAAGTTCAAGGCCAACCTGGCCTACATAAAGTGTTCTAGGTCAACTTGAGCTGCATAGGAGGACCATGTTTCAGAACAAGTCTAAAGGAAAAAGTATCTGCTGATATGGGTCAGCTTAATACTATAAATTAAAATGCACATGAGTTTTAAGTAAAAGACATAATTTGAACATTGAATGTTGCTTATTCTGAATTGAGCTCCATCCTGAGAAGGTGGTAGATTCACCTTGATTCTTTCGACTAGTAGCCCTCTGCTGGCCTGACCTGTGGGGCTTATAGACTGGATGGTTTCTCATCAGAGAAACAAGTAGACTACATTTAGGTGTTATTAACAGTTTATCATTTCCTTATAAGACTTGTAAGTGCCATCTAAATTGGTGGCTACAGCTATAACTTGTCTTTTACTTTATATTCCCTCTTTATTGGTCTTCCTCCATTTAAGCCCTGAGCCGTGTATGCTCACTCTGTGTTGTCATACTTCCCGCGCTCGTGTGCTGGATCAGAGTCCTCTTGAATGGTAGCCATTGGGCATAGGCTCCTGTATGGGGTCTGTCTGACTGTGATACACGGCATGCCCCAGTGTCTTGGAAGTTGTGCGTGTATGCAGTAGGAGCAAGTGAGGTCCACTGTGGCCATTCCTTCGATGTCTGTGACTTAGGATAGGAGACCTCAAGCCTGGTTATCAAGTTGCAGTGTCTTTCATTCTCTTCTTCAGACATTGTAGGGGTTATTTTAAAAGCCCAAGAGCTAAGCCAGGCTCCTTAGATTACTCCTGCAGTAGAACTGATTTCTAGGGAAACATCAGTGTGGTTGAAGCTTTGCAGCTGAACTGGAATGGGTAAGTGGTTTCTTCCTTACTGCCTTCACTTTATTTTAGTACATTTTGTGTGGGGTGTGTGTGTGTGTACATACATGTACACATGTGCCATAATGCAGGTGTGGAAATCAGACCTGTAACAGTCAGTCCTTTTTTGTATCGTGGGTCCTAGGGATCTTACTCAGATCATTGGGAGTAGCAGCAAGTGCCTTTACTTGGGAGCTGATAAGTCTCTATTCAGATGTGTGCAAAGCTTACTTCCTGCCAACATTGTACAGTTGCTTGGTTAATAATATTCTCAGCATAGCTTGAGGGAAAGTATGGTTCTCACGAAGTTTCCCTTTCTAATTTCAAATGGACTGTTAGTTCTTGGAAGATAGGTTCTGTTCTGTTCCACTAACTGGTGAGCATTTTAAAAGCAAGTGTGAAGGAGACAGATATGCTGTCCTGCTGTATTAGGACTTGGCTTGCGAGTTGGATGGAGAAAAATGGGTGTGGGTTATGGCTGTGCATTGGATCTATGACATACTTGAGAAGATGGGAAAAGTTCAGAGATCCTGAATCACCATGGTTGTGATTATCATCAACTTGAGGGCACCTGTTTACTTCATCATATGTACATAGCCACAGGTACTCAGGCAACACTGACATGGAACTTTATGCAGGAGAAAGGTTCATGTTTACAACAGTAAGGATTTACTCCTAGAACTTTAGATCACTGCTAGTTCTAAGGCCACTGAGAATCTGACTGTACTCTCACCATAGAGCAGTATTTCTTTCTCAACCTGTGGGTTGCAACCCCATAGGGGGTTACATGTCAGGTATATACACTATAACTCATAATAGCAAAATTACAGTTACAAAGTAGCAATGAAGTAATTCAATGGTTGGATGTCACCACAGCATGAGAAACTGTATTAAAGGGCCACATCACTAAGAAGGTTGAGAACCACTGCCTTAGAGGGAAAGCATGTCCTATGATTCACAAAAGGGAGTGACCCCTGTTTCTGTGTAGATGGCATGGTTTGTGAGAGAAGCACTGGAAAGGGACGGTGGAGGGCCAGATACATGTTGGTATCTCTGAGAGGGTGATTCCAGGAACCTGCTCTGGAGATTGTAGCAACAACTATTAAAGGCAGCCAGGTTGGCCCCTGGAGAGGCCTTAGTTATAAGCCCAGGAGGTTAGTTGGCCCAGATGTAGTTTAATCTTCTCCCACCAAGAACTCTTGGAAAAAAGGAGGTCAGGGTGAGTGGTGGCCAGCCATTTGGGATTGTAATGGAATAGGTCCAAGTGCTGTTGTGCAGCTTACGCATTTCACATTCAGTAAAATTGCTATTGGTTTAAATAGTCAGAAATAATTTGTTGACAACCCAAGGACATTTATGTTTATGCCTTAGGCCCTTTATACAATGATTGATATAGATAGTACATGATATCAGAGAAAAAAGCCTTTTACGGATTAAAGGTTCAAATAAAATAGCCCGTATTGGTTTTCTGGAAATAAAAATCCTAGCACTCTTGAGGGTTTGGGAATTTGGTCTTTTCTCTTTTCTGGGCTATTTATTGACCTCATGGTTCAGTTTAGCACAACCTTTACAATTGATGTCTCACACCCAAGTTGGTATCTAAAGCTTAGACCTGTGCACTGTGTCTAACAGTTGTGACCAAATACTAGGTAAGACCCGCTTTGAAGCAGAGGGCTAGGAAGGCAGAAGTCTGGGGCTTGGTCGTTAGGCCGAAATGCTGAGTGAGTCTGCTTAAGTCTAGCCCAGCCCCCCAAGAGCTGGTCCCCAGCCCAGGGTTGAGCCCTTAGCAACATAGTAGCAGCTCTCTGAAGCTGATAGAGCTACATATTCCTAACTAAGCTGGAAAGGCAAGTTATTCTTCTCTAAAGGGGGAAGGGAGGGTGTGGCCTCTTCTTCTGTAACTCTTCTTGGAAACTGCTTTTTATTAGTTTCTCTGTCATTTTTGCAGACAAGCAGCTTTATTTTCCTCTTCATAGAATCACGGTGTTAAATACATTCTGTGCTCCTTGAAGCATGTGTGAGTCTCTAATAGAGAAAAAGTTTAAAGTTGTTTCAGCTAACTTTATTACAGAAAGTGCTACCTACCTAGATTGACAGGGAAAGAGACTTACTGGATTGACTGTCAAAGGCAGGGCATAGTATCTAGATGGGCTTGTGGTGCTATCCTGGTACTCTGCTCCCAGAAATTGAAACTCTCATGAAATTTCAAACTCCCATGAGATGGATATCTGGATTATCAGTAATGAAAGTTTACATGAGTTAATTACCTTGGCTTGTGGTCATGTTTGACTGCTGTCTTTTTATTTTGTAATGCCCTATTCCATTAATCCTTTAAAAATAAAATCAGTTTTTGTCTGTGAAATCTTTTTTCAGCCTGGAAGTATTTGGTGGGAAAACGGAGGGCATAGATTTCTCTTGGAAAGTCTCTTGTATCTTCAAGTGGATAGAGTCTTGCCTCACTTTCCTTCTGTTTCTTTTACAAAGTGTTACATTTCCATAATAGTAGTCCACATCCTCTGGCGATTCTGGGTGATGAGTGGGCTCATCGTGATGAGCAGTAGAATATGGAAGTTAAGACAGCATGGGCAGCAGTGTGACTTTGGTTAATTAGTATTGTGGAACATTAAGTAGCAAAGATCAGAGCCAGTTGAACTGTTTCCCTCTCCCAGAACTCCATCCTTTTTTCTCCCTCTCTACTGAAGGCGGAAGTGTTGGGCCCCTCATTTTTGCTATTCCAGGTCAGGCAGTGAAGTCATGGGTGTCTATGGGAACTTAAGCGCTACATTTGCAGAGGAAGGCCAAGGTTTAGAATAGCAAAATATAACCAGACTGAATTAACTTTCTGTTTTCTGAAATCTGTTTCAGCAACTCTACCAGATCCTGACTGACTTTGATATCCGGTTTTATATGTATGAACTACTTAAAGTAAGTAGTATTTGTTGATGGTGCGTTTTGTTTTGTTTTTTGTTTGTTTGTTTTCAGGCTCTTTCCTTAAAGAAGTTTTTTAAAAGATAGAGAATTTAAGTAGAATATTTCTTAACACCCAGAGAGTGAGACTTAACTTCTGGTGAGAATTCTATTGTGAGACATCACAGAACTGAGAAAACCGGCCAAACGAGGGTTACAGGGCCATTATACAAAGCCCACAGCCTCTTGTGGCTCTTGTTGGCAATTGGATTTTTTTTTTCTTTGCCAGTTAATAATCCTAGTCTTCTCTGTAATAAGTAACCTCAGACTTAAAAGACTTTCTAAAAATGGCTTTTTATTTCTTATTATTTCATGAGTTAGCCTGGTAAGTTTTTTTTTAGATTCAGATCTGCCTGACTGGGACAAGATAGTCTGGTTTGGCCTCATTCAGGTATCTGTGATGTAGGCTGGGCCTGCTGTAATAGTTGAGGTCCTGTCTTCTGAATAATGTGTGTAAACACTGCAACCTGGTATATGCTGGTTTGCCAAAGTCAGTCCCACAGCCTGCCCTTTACTTCAGAGTATAAGATGGTTATTTTCTTTCTTTCTTTCTTTCTTTCTTTCTCTCTCTCTCTCTCTCTCTCTCTTTCATTTGTTTTGTTTTTGTTTTTGTTTTTTTTTTCCAAGAGTAGCTCTGGCTGGCCTGGAACTCATGTGTTTTATGTATAATGAGTGCTCTGTCTTCATGCACATCAGAAGAGGAAATCATAGCTCATTACAGGTAGTTGTGAGCCACCATGTAGTTGCTGGGACTTGAACTTGGAACCTCTGGAAGAGCAGCCAGTGCCCTATAACCGCTGAACCATCTCTCCAGCCCAGTTATTATTTCTTGGTGGGAAACTCACGTAGAAGGGTCTGTACATAATTGGCAGGCATTTGCAGCCACCCCCCCCCTTTTTTTTTTTTTCAAACTGTCTTTTATCATCCCTTTCTTGTATGAGAATAGCTACCTCTCACCCCAAACACTGACCAGTTTAATCCAGGGAGAAGTGACCGGTGGACCTTCTAAGTGACTTAACAAATACCAAGTACTATAAAAATTGAAATATTATCAATTGACGGAGGGATGTTTTCCTTTGTCTTGGTGAACACTGCAGTAAAGCTTTCTAAAGCAGCCACATGTACCTTTTAGGGCCACGGATCACTAAGAACTTCACAACTGTGAACTTCCCCAAGAAATGCATCATAAATACGTATTTGCCAGGGAATGATGGGCACATAACTTTAATCCCAGCACTGTGAGATAGCAGATCCACAAGGAGAGGTGGATCTGTGTGAGTTCAGAGTATTACAAAACCTTGGGGTAGGGGTTAGTGCTTGTGGACCTCAGTTAAGAAAATTGCCAAAATGGGGTTTGTATGGGGACTGTGAAACATTACTAAATACTAGGCTGAATCAAGGCTAGACTTAGGGAGTGGAAGTTTTGAGAATGGGCTCATGAATGCTTTATTTAGAATTGTTACTTGAGCGATCTGCCTGTCTCTGGAGCCAAAGTGGTGGGCCTCGAATTCACTCATGTCTGTTGAGCTTCCTTTTTGTTGGTAAGGACAGACTAGACTTGATGTGGCCCACCATTCCTTTGTCTTCTCCAGACTAAACTTGCAGTGGGAAGAAATGTGCAGTGCTGTGGGCCTCAGGCTGTTCTTGTTCTCGAGGTCTTGCTGAGAAAGCCCCCTGTGTGCACAGTGAGAACCATTGTCTCCTTCTCACGAGAGCTCACTCATTTCAGTCCATGCTCAGATCTTTGTTTTTAGCTAGCACCAGCTAGGGGGAAAACCTAGCGCTTAATCTGCACTCGGTGCTGGTGGCCATGCTGCTGCCTAGTAGTAGCAGTGATTGGTCTCTTTGCTATTGGGGCAGAGAGTCCCAGTTGACACTTGAAAATACCCTTTTATGCCAAAGACATGTTAGTAACCCCACAGGGTGTCTGGCCAGTGGACCCCGCCAAGAATTAATCACTACTATGTGTCTATCTGCCTGTCTATATTTTTGTCTCAGCCTTTGGTTTCATCATGTATTTTTTACATCCCGGTATTATCTGAATTAGATCTTCGACAAAGACTAGGTAAAATGGCAGAAATCAACATTTTCTCTTACAGAAAAAAAAAAAAAAATCAAAGTAAGAAACAGGAAACCTCACTGAAAATGTAGAAGAATCTGAGGCTGAAGGCTATGTGTGACTGCTCAGTGACCACTCTACCCTCAGGCTTTGTCTGATCTGATTCAGACTTAAGGGGGTGTGCCCTCTTGGACTCTTGTTTTATAAGAAAACTGCAGAGATGAGATTTGGGTGGGAACTATGAAATGCTGCTTAAACGAATAACCAGTTGAAAGGAGGCACAAAAGCACATTGGAATATTGCTACAACTGTTGTAAAACAAAACAGAATGGAAGTAGAACACAGGTAAAATAAATAAATCTCATGTTTCCATGGTATTGATTTTTGCATGTGTAAAACCTCCAGCTAGTTGTCCTTAGCTGGAATAACAGTTGTTATTCCAACAACTGTTGGAATAAAACAAAACTGAGAATTCTGTTCTGTATCCATGTGATACTGGTCACATACCAAGTGCTTAGTGGCCTTGCATAGCTGGTAGCTACTGTACTACACAGCACAACCATAAATTGTTACCTTTGCTGCAAAAAATAATGGACAAGGCTGGTAGAAAAAATATGGATGTCCAAAAAGTTCTCTCATGCCCCTTCCCTCCAGTATTTCCTCCTTTGGAGATTATATCTCACCTCTGTCCCCAGGTTTTCTATTACACATTTTCCAAATTCAGTTTAAAATATCACACCTTGTCTGTTGTTGCTACAGACCAGGAGAGCATATTTTTGGCATGCTGATCATCCTCTGTTTAAATGCACATTCAGCAGATACTGCTTACCAGGAAGTACTTTGGATCTAGTATTATTTTTTGTTTTTAAAGCTGGAGTGGTACAACTGATAACCAGTAGTTAGGTGTCAGGTATTCTGCTAAACATTCTTCAATACAAGATAGCCTCCACGTGAAGAATTTTCTGATCTCTTGGAGCTTTTCAGTGCTTTTTAAGCCAAAGGTTCTAACTTTGGGATTCACAAAGGTGATCCATCTGTGTGTGTTTATGTGTGTGTGCGTGTTTGTGTGTGTGCGCATGCGTCTGTGTATCTGTATATTATGAAAAGCTGGATGTGGTGAGCATGCCTGTAATCCCAACACTTGGGAATCTAAGGCAGGAGGATATCCACTTTGAGGCCAGTCTGGGTACAGAGAGACTAGAAAGCAACCTGACTAAACTGAATAACAATAAAAACGAAAAAGGCTTACTAATACAAGTTTAAAGATAAAAGATTTAAATCAACATTTCTTCAAAGGCAATATAGATAACCAATAAACACATGACAGATAATTTGTTTCATCACTAATAAGGAAATAAAATTCAGAAACATATTGAGATACCAGTTTAACCTATCTGAATAGCTGTAATTTTAAAAAGAAACATTGACAAGTGTTGGCAAGAATGTAGAGAAACTGGAACCATCATGTATTGGCCTTGAGAAAACAAGCACTTACTTGCAAAGTATATACTGTACATCAAGGCATTCTGCCCCTAAAAATCTACCCAAGATAAATGGATGCATATCCCCCCAAAAGACTTCCACAAACATTTTTCTCAACAACCAAAAGTGGAAACAAGCCAATTGCAATAAACTAATAAGTTCATGAAATGATTCAATCTCAAAAATAAGCTCAGTGAAAAAAAGTGGGCAAAGGACTATGCTTTTAGGAATGTCCAGCAGGAAAAAAAAAAATCTCTAAAACAGCAGATCCACCAATGGCTGGCAGTCACTTGGCATGGGCATTAGATCTTAAAGAGTTCTAAGGTATGGTGGCAATGGTTACAGAGTTTTTAGTTTACTAAAGATCATTCGCTTTCAGCACATCAAGGCCTCTTGATTTTGTTACAGGAAGCGATTTTTCTCTCGGAATAATAATGATAATTCCTCTCAGGCCTTATATTTAAGGAAAATGTAAATGCTTCTTAATCTAGAAAACTCACATGCTTAAATCTGCCTTGTTAAAGCCAGGTGTGGTGGCACATGCCTGTAATCCCATCACTTGTGGAGACAGAGACAAGCAGATTGCTTTGAGTTCAAGACCACCCTGGTCTACAAAGTGAGTCCAGGACAGCCAAGGTTACACAGAGAAACTCTGTCTCAAAAAAAAAAAAAAAAAAAAAAGTCTGTCTTCTTAAAAGATAGGTTCGGATGTCATTCTTCATACCCATATGTGTTCTGAGGTCCCACACTCTGGCTTCTCTCTCCCTCTTTTTAAATTAACTTTCAGCATGACCATCAACAGCCACCTTTCTACTGGCTGCCAGCTGTAGTGTATACAGAGAGCATGTTTTTCTCTTTTCTTTAATGGCAGTAAGCTGCCCTTTTTAAGACTAATGAAGTTAAGGTGTCACAAATAATAAGTCTGTGTTTGCGTTGGGGGTGGTAGAGGGTTTGCTTACTGTTCTCTGTGCTTTCTTACCTACTAGGCTCTGGATTACTGCCACAGCAAGGGAATCATGCACAGGGATGTGAAACCTCACAATGTCATGATAGATCACCAACAAAAAAAGGTACCAATCCGGCCAGGCAGCACCAGACCTTTGCTGAAGGCTTAGGAAAAACCTAAAAATTGTCCAGTAGGGTTGCAGTGCCTGTAGACCATGCTGACTCCTTCAGTAGACTGTTACTGTAACTTTTCTAGTCTCCAGTATTGGTTTCTACCAGGAAAGTACATAGTGACCTTGACTGTGGTCACTGGTTTTACTTTGGTTTAAGTGTTCAGAGGGCCTCAGGAAGAAACTACAACAGTGGTGTCTACTTCACTTCTTTATGACCATTAGACTAATCCGACTACCCCCTAAAAAGTATACTTCGGTTTCTCCAACTCTGGCTGTCACAGCCAGTGTTAGGTTAATGACCAGTTAGAGCAATGCTTCTATTCTAGAGTGGGCATGCATTTGTCCTTCAGTATTTCCTATTGCTCATGTAAAGGGCTGTGATGGAGGCAGAAAAAAGATTGAGCTCTGTTGATCTGGAGAGAATAAAAGACAAGGGTAACTTAAAAGGAAAAGAGTCAGAAACATTCCAAGTACTTTGCTCCAAAAATGACCTCATCTGCAGTTTCCAAAGTGTAGTCTTCCGTGAGTACACTGTATGTGGTCAAATACCTGTTGTAGAAGTATGGTATGGCCTTGTCATAGGCATGGGCATCTAGAAGGGCACATTTCACGTTCTGTTTTGTGTTGTCTTTCTCACAGCTCCGACTGATTGATTGGGGTCTGGCGGAGTTTTATCACCCTGCTCAGGAGTACAATGTTCGAGTGGCCTCGAGGTACTTCAAGGGACCAGAGCTCCTTGTGGACTATCAGGTAAGCATGTCAGTGAAGCTCTGAGCTATTTTTATATTTTCTTAGGGATTTTCCTGGTTTGCTGTGTAGTCAATTTGGATACATTCAAAACCCAGCAATTAATTCTACACTAGAGGTTTTTCTCAGCTACATTTTTATTATTATTTTTTGTATGTATGTATGTATGTATAAGCTACAGCCCTACTGTACAGCTACAGTCAGCTGTCTGCTGACTCTCACGGGAGTTTGTCCTCTCTGCCATATTGGTTCTTGGGATCGGGATGGGGGTTAGATTATTAGGGTTGGCAGTCCTTCCATACTTAGTTTACCAGCTGAGCCTCTTGCTGCCTCTTTTCTTTTTTCTTTTAAGTGAAAGGGGTGACTGAGGTATAAAGGTTGGAATGACGCTTGGTAGTGGTGTGCCTGCCTGATGTGTATTAAGGCCCTAGTGCGTCAAAAATAAGGGCTGACCTTCAGAAGTCATAAGTACTAGAAACTTGACCAATAAAAAGGGTTTCTTTTATCCTTGACTGACTGACCATCTTTACTGCCTTCAGATGTATGATTACAGCTTGGATATGTGGAGCTTGGGTTGTATGTTGGCAAGCATGATCTTCCGAAAGGAGCCATTTTTCCATGGGCAGGACAACTATGACCAGGTGAGCAGATTTGGCCTGTGTTATTTGTCACAAATGCTAGGGAAATAGCATCTGAGACAGGAATTCTCTCCATGAGCCATGGAGTGTCATTCACTGCACATGGGCTGTGTGTAAGCTGAAGAATTGTTCAGAATTGTCTCTGTGGTCTTGAAGTTCTTGAGCATGCAGACAGATAATACTTCCTGTGCTGAACTTTTTTTTTTTTTTTTTCCTGAACTTTTAAGATGAGGCTAAGAAGTAAGGTGCCTCTTTGTCTAACAAAATCAGATTCTAGTCATTTGATGAGTGTTCCCAAAAATGTTAGCATCTAAATTATGGTAATCCTTTAAGAGTAGTTTAGAAGCTTTACATTTGAGCCCTATGTCCTTAAGTCTCTTTATCTTAGATTCAGTCCCTAAAGAGTTGAGTGTCATGAATCTCCTGATTGCCAGGTCTAATGTAGTGTCCTCACAGGTTCACAGGAAGCTCTGTGCTTGGTGGTTTGGTCAGTTTGTTTTGTGTTTCAGCTTGTTCGAATTGCCAAGGTTCTGGGGACAGATGAGCTGTATGGGTATCTGAAGAAGTACCACATAGACCTAGATCCACACTTCAATGATATCCTGGGACAGTAAGTAAGAAAGAGATGGGGGGAAGGGTACACTTTGCTCTATTGGAAGCAAATAGACTTGCTCTATTTGGAAGGTTAGACAAAGTCCAATTTTTTTCCCTTTTCTAACATCAGTGTTTGTTTATTAAGACAGGGTCTCACTTGCTATGTAGACCAGGGCTGGTCTTGACCTCGGAGATCTACCTACCTTGACTTCCCAAGTGCTAGGACTCTTTATTTATCTGTAGAAAATGGAAAATAAGCCATCTGTGGACATGCATGTCACTAATCACAACACCTGGAAGGCTGAGGCTGGACGATCATTGAATTTGAAGCCAGCCTGGCAATCATGAGATCCTTTGGAAGTAAATGAAAAACAACCAAATCATAGTTTTGTTTTGTTTTGAAAAACAACAAAAAATAAGCATGTGCCTAATTTTAATTTCTTTTTAGTTTATATGTTAGCATGTTTTACATATGTGCATGTATACACACTGTGTGTGTATGCTCAGTGTCTGCAGAGCCAGAAAAGAGGTCCTCTGAAACTAGAGTTACAGATGGTTAAGAGCCACCATGTGGGTGCTGGAAACTGAACATGTATTCCCTGCAAGAGCAGCTGTTGCTCTTAACCGCTGAGCCATCTCCCCAGCCCTGCATATACTTATTTTGATGACAAATCTTGGAAAACTATGCTTTTTTAAGAAGTAAATAGCTTTCAAAAAAGCCAGGCATGGTTGTTCTCACCTATAATCCCAGCACTTGGGTAGGCAGAGGCAGGTGGATCTCTGTGAGTTTGAGACCAGCTTGGTCTACAAAGCAAGTCCAGGACAGCCAAGGCTACACAGAGACGTTCTGTCTTGAAAAACAAAAATAATGAATAGCTTAAAAAAAAAAAAAAAGAGTTTCTTTTCTCAAGTAAGTTTCATAATAAATATTGAGGCATACTGAATTTTCAGGTGCAGTGCAGGTTTTTGTGGTTTAGGGATTGGGTTTGTTTGTTGGTTTGATAAGGTCTTACTGTGTAGCTGTGGCTGCCTTCAAGCTGAGAGCTAGGATTTTAGGTGTGCACCACCATGCCCGGCTTCAGCATGGTATGCTAAAGTAAATGTTTGGGTGGTGGTCTTCAGACACTGTTTTATGAAGCAACTTGTTTCTAAAGCCAGCTCTCTAAATATACCTACTGACTCATCATTACTCAGTCACCACCAGGCCTTGGCCTTGTAATCGGTAGAAAGACTGAGGCATAGCAATGATCCAGAAATACTGAACAGTAGTTGTTTTGAACAGATTCTGCTTATCTAATGGTTGAGTGTTTTCTGTGTCAGTATGCCTTGGTTATAACTGGGGGTGACAGGGTGTGCTAGCCTGTTTAAAGTGGGTACCAATAAAAATGAGCTTCAGCTGCTTCACTAAGTACACTATTCTAAGGGGTCGTTGACATTGGGCCTAGTAGAGGAGAATTTTTCTTGTTGTTTAGTCTTAGAATACTAATGATTCACTGTTTTTCTTAGACATTCACGGAAGCGCTGGGAAAACTTTATCCATAGTGAGAACAGACACCTTATCAGCCCTGAGGCCCTAGATCTTCTTGACAAGCTCCTGCGGTATGACCATCAACAGAGATTGACTGCCAAAGAGGCCATGGAGCACCCATACTTCTGTAAGTGTTAAAAGGCAGAACTATCACCATTTATCTTTAAGGTCAATCAGAACACGAGATATTTGCCTTTAAATTTTATTCATTCTAGATCACTGAGGCCAGTTGACAGTTGATTTTCTTAGTTCCCTAAGGTGATTGTTGATTCACTGGTGGTAGTACCTCTGAGGCCAGCTGACCCATCACCCACACTCCCACTTCCATCATCCTGAGCTTGTAAACTGAAGACATCTTAAGATTTTTTTCAAGTGCAAAAGTTGTGAAAATCAATTATTTTTTCCCTGTTAAAAAATTAGTAAGGCCGGGTGTGGCGGCACATCCTAGCCTTTGGTAGGCAGAAACAGTCCGATCCCTTAAGGAGTTTCAGGCCAGCCTGGTCTATGGAGTGCATCGAGGACAGCCAGGGCTCTGTTACACAGAGAAACCCTCTGTCTTAAGATTAAAATAAATAAACATAAAATATTAAAAAACAAAGAGTAAAAAGTAGTTAGATCACCTTAATGTGTTTTTAAAGGAAGCAATGTGTAGATGAGAGGGATCTGAGGCAAGGGAGCAGGTAGATTATGGCATCTGGATTCTGACTTCTGACATCTCCCACAGAGCATGTGTATGTGCCTTCTGTACTTGCTGGTGGTTTGAGTTCACGCAGTCCTCCCACTGAAGGTTTCATGTACACTTTATCCATGTCATTGAAGGGGTGCCTTAGTGTAGTCAGGGAAGAGCTGGGAAAGGAAGAAGTTGGGCAGTGACTTGACTCTTCACTTTGAATCAAGATGAACTGTGTCCCAGAAGGTTTTTGTCTGTTTTTTGACCAGTGTGTTCTCTTCCTTTTACCTCTAGAGTTTAACTAATTCCTAATAATATTAACTAATACAAAGGATATATTGCTGTAGTCTTGAACTTAGGGCAGATGTTTAAGGTGACAAAAATGTAAAGAGTTTTTCAGTGTTCTTTGCCTTAGACAGGTGACATTCAGTTGTCTGCTCCAACACAGAAAGCTATTTTTACCATGTAGGGTAGGCCACTTTAGGAATACTGGTATAGCCCAAAGTGATGGCACACACCTTTAAACCAACCACACAGGAGGCAGAGGTAGTCAGACTTTCAAGGCCAACCTGGGTTACAAAGTAAGACTGTTTTTACAAAGAAGAAAAAAGAATGAGCCAGGTGTGCTCATCACAGGACTCAGAATGCAGAGACAGATGGTTCCCCGAGTTCAAGGCCAGTATGGACTACAGAGTGAGTTCCAACACAGACAGCTGGGGCTATACTGAGAGACACTGTCTCAAAAAAACAAAACACTCAAAAAACATTATTGGTGCAAATTCATGAGGCAAATGTGTAAGGGTTGCAAATTTGAGGCCATTGAGGGTACATAGTAAGATTTTGTCTCAGAAATAATAATAGAAACAACCTAATGAATGAATATATCACATAATTTGATTTTATTTGATTACTTTTCTAAATAAGCTTCATAGTTCACTGCTGCTTAAAATTGATAGACTTCCACTAGCTCTTTTATTTACCCATTCATAACCTGCCTATAGTTGTATATGGTTTAAAGAATTTAGGGGCTGAGTATGATGTTGGTACTCAAAGAACAAATTGGTGTTGATTTTGAACAATATTAAGTTAGACTTTCTGTGCTTTTCAGCAGTTGGGTCTCTATTCTAAAGAAGTAGAAGAATTTTGTCCAAAAAAAATTCCCTACTGGTTGAGCTGTAGGCTAAGGCTGAAGAAGAGTGAGAGTTCAGGGCTAGATTGAGCAACTTAATAAAACTTTACCAAAAAATAGAATTTTCAGTAGGAGTTAAGGAAATAGCTTAGTGGTAGATTGATTGCCTAGCATGTGTGAGAATATGGGTTCTGTCCCCTGATTTGAAGACAGAAGGATAAGGAGTTGTTTACATATCTTGTCCCAGTGCCTGGCTTTGTGTAACCTGAGGCCCACAGAAATGTCTTGGTGCATGTAGAAGAGGAAAGGCAGGTTGGCTGTGCATTCCCCCTGTGCCCTCCATGCTGATGCTGACCTGGGGAACCTGTGCTCCTCTCTCTTGCAGACCCAGTAGTGAAGGAGCAGTCCCAGCCTTGTGCAGAGAACGCCGTGCTTTCCAGTGGTCTCACCGCAGCACGATGAAGCCTGGGGAATCGACGGTAATGCGGCACTGATGCTTGCCAATAAAACCAACCAAACAAACAAAAACTTGAAGGAAACTACAATGTGATAAAAAGAAATTCTAATCATTCCTTCTAAAGGCAAAGAAGAGTAAAAGACCTAAAGTCTGTAAAAGCAAGAAACTCCCCAGTACTAGTCTGCAGGGAGCCGCACTGTGCAGTGTGGCAGAGCGCATAGTTCAGGATTGAGGGGACTCTCCCTTTGGAATGCATGGGAGATGAGAAGCTTGGAGTTGTTGTACACGCACCTGCGTTTAACAGGATACCACTGTTGAATTAACCTGTCGGTCAACAAGCTCTGAATATCTGACTTCCTATCTATTCCATTGTGGTCTGGTTTTCTTCTGTGAGAATTCAGGCTCAAGTTTTAGCAAAAGTCAGCAGTCTATTCTGACACACCAGCCTCATTTACAAAAAAGAAAAAAAAAAGGATTAAAACAGTGACAGTATTTTTTTTAAGCTCTTTTACAAATTCATGTGTTATGTATTTTTTTATGACATGAGCTCTCCAGGAAATGTACCTCATTCCTGCAGTTTTCTTCTAAGTGTATTCATTTGGAGGCAAGCTACAGTCACTCACCATGTCCTCTTTGGTGTCAGAAGATGGCACTGTAAATCTTGAGATGCCATGAACAGGTCCCAGTCTCATTAGAAGTTCTATGCTGTGTGCATAACTTGGGGCTCACCTTTATTGATTTGCCTAACTATTGAATCTTGTTGCCTTTTTTCTTTTTAGCTTTTTTATTCCTGGCCTTGTAAGAAAAACCTCACCATTTCTCAGCACATCTTTTTGTGGGCGCCTACTTTAATGCACCACTCTAAAACAAAGACTATTTTTGTTCACAACCATAACTACAGCTGGAAAGCTGGTCTTCAGGCAGGTCAAAGAGGAGGGCAATGTTCTGTTAGGAGTTATTCAGGGAAGATCTGACAGATACAAAGGCATACCACTCATCTTCCCTCTTTTTAACCCTGTGACAAACAGGTCTGGCTGCAATCAGGGTGATGGGCATTTGCAGCTCTGATAGGTCATGCATAAATGTGATGACAAAGAAGTCTCTGGCATGCAGGTGCTGGCCCATGGGCAAGGTTGTCCTGTGACTCCTGCACTGGCTAGAGAAGGATGGCCGGGGCTTGGAGGAAGTGGGGCTCCTGGAGCAAGTGTCAAAGCTTTATAGATCCACTGTGCTAACCTTCCTGTTAGCAAAAGGCTAGATTTTGTTTTGCTTTTTTTTTTTTTTTTAATAGGGCTGATTTTATTTGGGAGATTGGTCTCTGACATGGTTTGCCAACTAGTCCCCTCTCCTTGGCTACAAAGCCATGCCTCAGCTCTGGGGACCTAACATGCTTGAGGTATCTACCACATCACACGTAGGGTTTCTTTATTAACTATTTAATAATGCCATACATTTTTTATAAGGTTAGATTGTTTGTTTGAAACATCTGTTTACATTCCATATTCCAATAAACTTGTATTGGTATTGATAGCAGGTCCATTTCTAAATGCAGATTCTATTTTGTCATTTGGTCTATGGGAACTTAAAAGGCAAATGTAACTCTTCTCTTGATAGTATGGAGTTGAGTTCATAGATTAAAAAATAAGATCTTGCGCCAGTGACATGCAGGTAAAGGCATTTCCTGCCAAGACTGGTGACCTGAGTTCAGTCCCCAAAACCTACGTGGAAGAGGGAGAATGTACACCCATGATTTGTCCTCTTCCCACACCTGCGCTGTGGCATGTAAACACACACACACAATAAATAAAGTTTTAAAAATCCTCTTTAAGATCCTTTATAAAGCCAAGACTTCTATTCAATTAAGGTTTTCATACAGATCCTGCCTCCCTGCATTGCACCTTCTGTGTATCAGTGTATACATTTGTTTTTTCTGAGAATTGGAAACATGACATACATGGCTGCGACTGAACGTGTGTTAACATGTCAAGTGGCAAACCTCAAGCATTGGGGCCTGCCATGGGCCCTCACAGGCAGCCTGGGTCTTTGGTTTTCAGGGCGTGTGTCACTGTATGCCTTTCCTGTTCTCTAACCCCATCTCCTTGATTACCTATGCTTCTCTTTCTTTTCTCTCACTTTTTAAGTTGTTCAAAAGCCTCCTGGAGGGCCTAAATTGAGCAGTAATCCCAACTCTTTGCCCAGGGCATTCCAGAAACAGTGGGGAGAGAGTTGGCCACGTTCCCCTGCCCCTCCCCTTTGGCATGCTCTGGGGGGTGGTCCTTGAGTGACAATTCAGCAGGGCATGTCCTTTGTATACAGCAGTGCCTGCACTTTACCTCTCTTACCCCTTGGCCTTGAAAGGCTTGCTCCCTCTGAGTCTAGACTCGATGCCTAGGCTGGTCTTCCCAAATTGCAGTGTCTCGTAGACCTCTTTTACCTGTCTCCAAATCTGCCTTGGGTCCAGGTATACCTGGTTCCAGCCCCCTGGAGATATACCTGGGTTTGGAGAGTTTTAAAGAGTGTGTATGAGTAGAGGTGGGAGTCTAGTCTTATATTGAGACTAAACTGGTAAATTTACCCACCCAGTAATCTTTTCAGTGAATATATTTGTTTTAAACTCATCTCGTTTGTTTCATTACCTTATAACAGGTTAAAAGTGCCTATGACAAGGACTTAATTATTTCCTATTGAAAAGCAAAAAATAAATAAATTAAAACCTGTGGGGAACAGGGTAGTGTTGCACTGTCATCTCAGGTATGCCTGCTGTGTTCAAGAACGTGCACCTGCTGTGCGGAGAAGCAGCTCCAGGGCTGAGTCCAGATCAGTGTCTCCCCTTGGTATCCACAGGGAGCATGGCCTCAAGGTTGCCTGAGCTAAAAGCCATGCTGAGAATGCTACTAAGATGTGTATTGGTAGCAATTTGTTCTTCCAGGCTCCAGTCAGCTGACCTGTTCCTGTCCCTGTTGTAGGTGGCTGGGTAGAAGCCATTGCCTGTGTAATGAGGGCACCTCTTACGCTTGACCTGGAAGAGCAGAGTGCCCAGCCAGGCCTCCTCTAATGTCCATGCTTAGAGCATATGTCTTCCTTGCTAGAAGAGAGAAGAGCCAGGAGTCTCCACGGCTTAGAGAAGGTGAAAGAAAAAGATCTTTCAGTAAGAACAGTGTTGGAAAGGTGGGCCTTAAAGAGCTTGCACTTTCAGAGGATGAAACTAGAGGATGCTAAGCTCCTAGACAGGACACTGTCCCTGGCTTGGGTCCAGTGGCCTTTGAGAGGTAGTTGCCAAGGACCTCAGGGTCTGTGCCTACTCAGGGAAACAATCTAGGTTCCCTGGGAGCATGCTAATGTGTCACAGAGCTACTTGGGGATGATGGGGAGAGCTTATATGTACTTTGAGATAGATGCAGGAGCCCAGTTAACCGTTTCCTTTAACTCTAGATCCCCACACACCACAGAGAAGGGCAGTCTCCCTCCTGCACAGGAGTTAGCAGATACGAGCTGGGGAGAGGTAGTGCAGAATGCCAGCCCTTCTAAAAGCAAAAGCAAGCAGGTCTCTTGAGCACACAAGAACCTGAGTTTGTCAGGGAGCTTAATAAATTAAAACTGAAGTGTGTCCTTTCTTTAAAAAATGAGTCCCATGGGGCTGGAGAGATGGCCCAATGGTTAAGAGCACTATCTGTTCTTCCAAAGGACCCAGGTTCAACTCCCAGCACCCACATGACAGCACACAACTGTCTGTAACTCCAGTTCAAGGTGGTTTGACACCCTTAGACCAATGCACATTAAATTAAATTATTAAAAAAAAAAAAAAAAAGGAGCCCCGCCGTGGGGATGTTGGGAAAGGGAGGTGGCCAAGAGTGCTTGCTTTTGTGCGGTGGGCGGTCTTTGTTGTAGAAGCTGGCAAGGTTGGATTATGCAGCTGATGCGTACTTTTGTGTCAAGACTCAACAATGTGCTACAAATGTGACACCTAACCCTGAACTGCATGTATTGGGGATTTTTAAAAAAAAAAAAAAAAAAAAAAAAAAAACCAAAACAGAAACAAACTTTGAATCAATAAATTAACAGTTTTTCACTTGCTGGCTCTTCTTGCTGTAAATGGTGACTTTGGGACAGAATCTTGCTATCCAGTGGCAAGCTTGGATAATCTTCAAGAACCAAGGAGCCTTCTGTTTGTGGGAAAACAACACTGCCTGAGTTGTGGTCTTTTCCAAGTGAACACTACAAACCCAGTTCTTCCATTTAGCCCTGGATGACTGATGTATGGTGTCAGATCCCGTTGTCCTAAATAAAAATTAATGTTGACAATGCCTGACCTTCCCAACTAGGAGACAGACAGTTGCTGGGGACCTTAGCTTGCATTCAGAGGTAGGGCTGGGCCTAAACCTGGAACTTCGAAGACCTGTGTGGTAGCTCATGCTATCACTTTGATGTGGAGATTTTTTTTTTTTTTTTTTTTTTTTTTTTTTTACTCAAGACCGCTGCTTCTCAGAACTGGCTTGTTTTGTTACATGACTTTAACCTGTGATCCAGGCTTGGGGATTTGTGAAAATCTCCCCACCACTACCCCTTGCAGCACAACACATGTGAATGTGGGCCTGTACTGTCATTTTTTTGGATTGGACCCTTGAATTAACAGCTGAAGAGCTTGGAAGCACTCTAATTTCTTAACACGAGTGGGCAGCCTTTCTCATCTCTTAAGATGAGTACCCTTTCCCCATGGGAAGTTTCCACTGGGCGACCGAGACAGCTTACTGGATGCTGAGTGCTTTCCACAGTGTGGTCTCCAGTCCAGTCACACTGGCCTCTCAACCACCTGCTTTACCATGATAGCTATGGAAGGAGGCCATGATACTTCCTTCCATATTTGCAGAAGCAGGTTGAAAATTTCAGCCCACTTGCTGCCCTTCAGTGATGTCGGAGTTAGCCCTTTCCCTGATTAAGTACTAAGTCATCTGATTCCTAGACAAAGCCATCCTCAGCAAATGGGTCAGGTCTGAGAGATGCTGGGGCTAGACCTGTTGTCTGGCTTGCTGGATGGTCACAAGGCATCTGACTCAGCAACTGGACCTGAAGGACAGGGCAGGAGGATTGATTGTGACATGATGAGGCCAGAGTTCCTCCCAGAAGGCCAGGCCAATGGCTGCCTCTGTTTGGGTGAAACAACAGGAAGAGGATGCTTGGAGGCCTGGGCTCATGCAGCGAGTGTCCCATCGAGTGGCGTGGAAAAGACAAGCTTGCACCCTGTCCCAGGTGGCCTGCCTCTCTCTGGCTCAGATTGATTAATGCCCTCTTTCCCCTCCTCCCATCTCTCCCCAGGTCTGTTGCGGTTCCTCCCACTTTTCCATAAGCAGAACAGAACAAGAACCAAATCAAACGTCTTAACGCGTGTAGCGAGATCACGTCCCGAGAGCAGACACAAAATGGTGGCAGGCTTGGCGAGCACGAACTAGACCACCCGAAGGGCAGCCCACCACCGTAAATCAGACCTCACTTCCGAATGTAAAAGGTTCACATGCCTTTGGCTTCCTGTTGACTTCCTCCCGACCCAGAAAGCATGGGAAATGTGAAGGGTATGCAAAAATGGTTGTTGGTTACTGTTGCTCCCCGTGCCCTTGACCCATCCCATGGCTGCCTGTTGCTCCAGCAAACCCCAAGGACTAGCTGAACACAGACTCCGTAGATGGGATGGGGGCAGCGAATGGCATGATGGGCAGTTACATATTATTATTTTAAAAGTATATATTATTGAATAAAATGTTTTAAAAGAAGTGGATGGAGAGTTTTCAGTATAGAAGGGACCATTGACCAAGACCTTTGACAAGAGAGGACTGGGTAGCCAGTGCACTTGTGCCAGGCTCTTAACAGGATAGAAGCAGGGCCAGGGTGGCATGTGTCAGGCAGAGTGGCGTGAGGAGCCTGAGTTGCTGCATAGGCTGGGAGAGCATTCCCATCACTTGTCCACCCTTACCTCTTTCAGATGAGTGGCTCAGTATTTAAGGGAGTAAATGCCCTCATGGTGACTTGAGGAAAATGCTGTAAGCTACCCTTGCCGTTTCTTTGCCAACACCTCAACATTTTATTCTATCACCCAGTCAGGCCCACTCCCTTCTGAAGAAATGCCTCAGTCCTGGAGGCAGATTGAGTCAGCTATCCAATGGGAGGAAAGGGACAAAGTCCAAAGATACTTCTCACCCTGTCCTGGGTCTCCCAGGAAAGGTAGGGAAAGCAACACACACACACACACCGGGAAAAGTAGGAAAAGCAACCTGCGCATGTGCATGCGTGTGTACACACGCACATGAAGAGGCAGCAGTGGAAGTAACCATTTTTAACAGGGAAACAAAGCCAGTTTACAGTGCTTTTTCAATGTCCTCAGACCATTGACCCCTGCACAAAGTAAACAGCTGGTAAACACTAGCCTGGTGTCTGGCCACCAGCCATTCTTGCACTGCTTATAGAGCACAGAGACACGGGAAGGTTTGAGGCAGGCAAGAAGTTTGGGGTACCAGTTTGCTCTTCACAAGGGCCATGTGAATCCAAGTGTGAATACTTAGTACCAAAGTGATTATGTGGGAGCTTTCATTAACAGGCCCCTTCGTGGCCACTATTGTGTTAGTGTCCTTTGGACCCATTTATGTCAGATCCAGTCAGTTCATAGGCTGTGAGAACTTAGCACACCCTGCCCTACCTTGCCAGCAGAAAGTGCCCTCCAGATCACTGGCCATGCCTTGGTCTGTTTCTCCTTTCTTTCTTTCTGTGTGTGTGTGTGTCTGTCTGTCTGTCTGCCTCTTGTTTTTTTGAGATAGGTTCTCTGTGTAACCTGGGCCGTCCTAGA